CCAGCCTCTGCGGGCGGCTTTGATCAGTGTTACCCGTGGGCACCTGGAGCTAGTCCACTTGCACCAACAACGTGACTGAGCGCCGATCTCTGCTTCCTTTCCACACGGAGCTGTTTTTGTTCACGTCACAGTTACTGGCTGAGGGGACCAGCCGTCTGGGCCCTGTGCGGGGCATGGGCTCCAGACTCCCTGCGAGGTGTGGGGAGTGGACCTCCCTCAGGATGCTGTGAACAGTGTTCTGGCACGGGGGTGGGGCATCAGAGCACCCCATCCCAGGGAAAGGCTCAAGCGAGCACTTACAGACATGCCACCCTGACCCCCAAAAGATGAGTTCAAGTCATAAACTTGCCCTCATGAGCGTGTGGCCTGGTTTGGAATGGCGTTTCTGAAGGCCTCCTCTGTTCCGTCCTCTCTGTCAGGCCATCTCTGGTGGCCCAGTGGGTGGGAGTGGCGCTGCTCACCCAAAGGTCAGAGGTTCGAACCCACCAGCTGTTCCAGGGAAGACAGGTGAGTCTTTCTACCCCTGTAAGAGGTAGTCTCAGAAACCCACAGGGGCAGGCAGTCCTACAGGGTTGCTGTCAGCCAGTATGTTGTTGTTTGTTAATTTGCTTGTTTGTTTTTGATTCAATGGGTTAACATAAGGTTACACTGGAGCCAAAACCACGCCCAAACCCATATTGTGGAGTGAATTCTATCAGACAGACAGGGTGCAACCGCCCACGGAGTCTCCATACTCTCATCTTTCCTGGAGCCAGCTACCTCATCTCTCTCTCACAGAGCGGCTGGGGGGTTTGAACTGGTGATCTTTTGTTTTTCAGTCAAACACTGGACTGGACCACCGTGCCTCCAGGGCTCCTTATACTGAAGCAATAAGCCAACACACACCGAGCCACTGTCCTCCAGCCCTGCCCGGGTGTCAAAGACTGTGAACAGACCCTCCGTGGTACTCACGTAATTCCATGTCAACTCGAAGACATGGAAGTGGTGGGGTGGTTTAGCCTGTCGGTGTGGTCACAGTCTCATGGTGCCTCCTCGTGGTGTGGCCTGCGCAAAAGGAGGGTCCTGGGACCTCCCCTGCCCTCTGCCTTCCCCTTCCTGCAGGTGGACCCTGGTTGCTGCCAGAGCCCTGGAGATGCATCCATCGCAGTTGAATCTGCAAGACTTTGCTCCCACGGACCGGTGACGTTCCTGCATTCTGCATCACTGCATGCAGCTGCGTGAGTCTGCAGAGGGACTGGGGACTAGGACAGCCTATGGACGTGAGCTGGACTGGGCTGGGATGTTTTCCTGATGTACAGCTACGTCTTGACGGAAAGCCCTTTCTGACACCGGCATGAGGGTCACGGGGTTTGTTTCTCTCGGCAACCCCAGCCTCACACCCTATCCTCATTCTCTCAAGGACTGGCTAATACACTGGTTCTCAACCTGTGGGTCACGACCCCTTTGGGGGTCAAATGACCCTTTCACAGAGGCCACCTAAGACCATCAGAAAGCACATAAATATTTCACAATATATAATTACATATTGTTCTGTGATTAATCACTATGCTTAATGACGTTTAATTATGTTC